TAAGATGAAGTTATACAAGCAACGTGATCTGGTCCAAGCACTGCTGTTACAGTGGTCGTAAGAACAGTTGCCCATATCTCTATGTGACACTTTCTATTCTCTTCCTTCTAACCTCTCCATTTACTGTCTATTTTCGCACACTGTTTCGCATCTGTTTTATTCAGTCTTTCACGTCGTGTCCAATTCACACATTTTCTTATCCGGCTTTTCCGCTATCCAATTATCGTGACCCTACACCTTGTTGTTAACCGCACATTTTGCACACAGACATTCACTGNAACTATGTATGTATGTAAATGCCTGAATCGAGATATCAAAGAAAAAAAAATTTCTCTGCGTTTCGATTTGGTTCGTATGCATCAATGCGCATGTTTTACGATTAGAAACTGGTTAGTGTGTGAATCTAGTTCGATTTTGAAATTGTACATTGCCCAAATCATGATTGTGTATCCCATACTTCAGATTGGCAGAAAGGCTACAAATATGTCAATGTGCACCATGTTGTTCACCCGACAACGAGAAAGGAGATAAAGTATACACACAACAAAAGATAATCGGAATGGAAAACACATTTGAGTGGCTAATCAATGACAACCGATAACCTGAACCGACACGACTAGTCCGACAGAACGTATGCAGACAAACAAACAAACAAACAAAAACTTTCCCGTGGGATTAACGAGCGCCTCAGGTAATAATCACATCTGCACGTCTGTGGCGCGATAGAAATCAGATTTGTCTGTCTATCTATCACTTTTTTTCCTATCTCCTTAGTGTGTGCTCCGTATCAGTCGAATGTAACAATTCATCGGACACATTGGATTCAAGCATCGGTTAACCAGTCAGAAGACGAAACGAACAAGCAAAAAAAAAAACCCGCCTCGGTTCGCAGTGCAATTAAGCACCAGTCTGCTTTGCCAGACAATGTACATAACTCTGACCAAACCTGTTCGCTCATTGTTTGATTCGCTAACCTCTGGGGGAAAATCGAACGCATCAAATGACGTTCAATGTACGGAGTGAGAGAGAGAAAGAGAGAAAAAAGCAAGTAAGTGAGTGAGTAAGTAAGTATCGTTCTCAATGGACAGCTTAACAATCAGTGACTGATGAGCTAGAGATAAGCATAAACGCTTGCATATTTTATACAAATACAAACTAGTGATTATAATGTACATATGATTTCTAGCTAGCTATTCGTTCCATGTCAACTGGGAGCAAGAAAAATATTGTATACCCGACAAGTTTTGAGATAAAGTTTTTTTGTTACACATCTTGATGTAATGAAAGGTAGTCAAGAGGACTTGCTGTCCAGTGCTGAACATCGGTAACCAAAGCCCAATGGGACTCGAACTGGAGAACCACATAAGACCCGGCTAGGTTAGGCGTGGTACTGAAGTGCACGACAGCAAAGCGGATTACCATCAAAGTTGGGTGGCTCGAACCTCAGACCATAGGGTCCAAAGAATGCTGATGACAGTCACTAACTCACTGCGCCATCACTCAACTTGATAATGACGATTGAGATTCCTCCCAAAAAGGAGATTCTAGTGGTTTACAAAGACAACTTTGTTACATCTCAACTGGTTTGTTGCGATGTTTCGAGAATATTCTGAGTTTCCTATGTACTAGACCACGCAGCCATCTGGGATCGATAAACATGCGCTTCATTCGTCAAGTCTACATGTCTAATCAAAACTGAAGCAACGGGTCCCTGTGAAACACTTGTCGGTTCGTATAGGTAACAACATTTATACTGAAGTAAGTTTTATTCCAAATAATAATAAACAATCCTTGGTGAGTCTTTTTATAGCAGTGATTTCCCTGATTCGTTTTGACTCAGCAGATGGAATGATTCAGAATGCATCGGATACTACCATTTCATCAGTAGTGGTTACCCTGGACCATGATGTGTTAAGAGGTAACTAAAGAGAATGTAACCGTTTTTACTGACAACAAAATAACATTGATAATAAGAAAGATGTAAAGTTTGTGTACAGTAATAGTCGATTGGTCTGCCTTTGTTCTTTAGGATTTTTCCAAGTCTATTCGGCATCGTATCCACCAACTTTGTTATGAAGTCATTTTCTATTTTTTGCTCCATTACGTATTGCACCTTTGAGCGCTGTTTGCTTTATTACAGTGACAACAATACGAACATTCAAAGCTGTGCACAAAAATGACTTTGATTTCAAGGTTGACTTGATTGAAGTGGTATTTCTCGAAGTCAATGAGTTATACATCAAACATGGGCTATTATTATGAAACCTTATTTAATGCAATTTCTCTGAGTTGTGAAAGATTTTCAATTGGTTATCGAATGGAGTTACTTTAGTGGGTTATATATTAGACAAAATAATACCTCATAACAAATAACCGAGTTGACAAGAGTTTATGAAAATAATTTGGGATAATTCTTGAGTCATTCCTATAAGAAAATATTGCTTTGTCATACTTGTTAAAGTTTATGGTTTTCATGTTCAGACCATTTAATCTTGGCACCCAAGGTCAGGCACGTTTAACTGACACTTACGCAGACCAGAAACTAAGTAGATCGAAGTATACAAGAGATAAATTATTGTCAAATACCTAAAGGATTAATACAGGTGATAAATATAAGAAAACTCCATTTGACCACAAAGAAAATATTTTAGTGTATCACAATCGGCCGGTACTGTACGTAAGTTAAGTTTTCCATTTCATCGTCACATGTTTTGTTCGATTCAAGATCTATTTGTTGTTGTCATCGTGGTTATCATTGTACGAAAACTACTCTTATCTCTAAGCGTCTTTTTTTTGCAGTTCTTTAAACCTTCCTCGATCGAATTCAACGCAATGCTATTATTCACCGGATCGGTTACCTATTTCTAACGTCCGAATTCAAGACCACTAGTCCTTGGTCAGACAGACACTTCACTATTCGCTTTTTATGATTACAGTTTTGTCCAAGCCTACCTCATATGTCTCGATTCTCATCGTGCCTAGACCACCAATCTCTCCCCCACCCCC